GTCGCTGTTGCTGAACCACTATCCTATCAAACATCTGCCATCTGCACTGCTACCACCATGGATGCTGCCTCTGATTCCACTGCTGGCCAGCCTGAGGTTGCCTGGAGGACTTCTTTCTGGGTGCTGCTGCCCTTTAAGCTGCAACCACAGATGCAACTGAAGCCATCACTGCTGCAGACCCCTGGAGGTGACCCTGCCCCCATAGCTGCAGTTGCAGCTGCCACTGCAGCCACTGCTGCTGCCAACCAGCTGCCTGCTACCAACAACCACTGCCACTACCACTGCTACCATGGCCTAAAGGACTGCTGTCGGGGAGACTCCAGGTTTGGCTGCAAGTGACTGCACCATTTTGGGACACCTGCCTGGCTTGGGGCCTGGGTGCCAGCAGGTTTACCACCACAAGAGCCTCTGCTGGGGACTCCAGATGGGACTTGCAGGTCCAGTGTGGGGGTGCCTGCAGGTTTGGAGGAGCCTTGGGTCTTCCTGCTGAGTGTGGTGGTGGCCCTAGTCTTGCTGCTGAATCTTGGGGTTGCTCCATTGCATAAGTACATCCATGGTGGTCTCTCTGCAAGTAGAACCAGCATTGAGATCTTGGGACTGCAGCATGGCGGAGCCTGAAGTTCTGACAATGGGTGGGATAGAGACTGAGTTTGAGAAGACTGATCTGGGTTTGGTAATCCAAGAGCGTCAGAGACAGGCTGAGAATCTGTTGAACACTGACAGAAGCAGTTCAACTTTCCAGCAAGATTTAGTTTATCTTATTTTATTTTTTGACTCACTAATCTCTCTACTATATTTGGAACAAGATGTTTTTTATGCATCAGTCTGTGGAGGACAATGATATATGAATGGTGTTTTGCATTTTTGTTGTATTCTTCTGTCTTTAATTTTTTTCTCTTTGTTCATATTCTTCCTCTCTCTTGTCTATTTTCTTGGATTTTCTTGCCAACTTTTCTCCAACCAACAGCCAGTCTCTGTCAGCTACTTTCCACTCTTCCCATGGATGTTTCCTTCTAGCTTCTATCTTCCTCCCTTGCAAATATTGCATGCTACACTACCTTTGTTCTCTCATCCACCATTTGAAATTGTAAATCATTTTAACAAATATTCTGTTTGTACTATAAATATTTATTGAACTCACCATTTTGGTTTAATGCAAGTAAGCAGTAGATGCCTTAGTGGGAGCTATTAGGTTTAAGGCTATATATTGTGTACACTGGATGGTGTTGATATTGGTCTCACCAGTAAAGGCGAAGTGCTAGAAACCCTCAGGAATACTATAGGTCTACAGGGTAGAATTTATGCTGCCTTAGATCCATACTTCTAAATGGGAAAACACACTAACAACATGAAAAACAAGGGAATAAAGCAACCCAAACAAAACTTCTGTTGTAGTTCTTCAACAACAGAAGCCACTAATAACACAGTAGAAGAAATGTCCAAGAAGGAGTTCAGATTGTACATAGTTAAATTGATATGTGAAGTAAAAGATAGTATAAGGTGTGAAATCAAAGAAAAACTACAGGAA